AATATGGGCCCTTTAAAGTACACTAAAAAAAACAACTTGTAAGATTTAATAGAAAAAAATCCTTGTAACAATTTGCAGTAGCACTTTTTAAGTACATTTTACTGCTGTTATATTAGGTACAATTTACTTGTCAGTATCAAGTAATATGTACTTACCACCACTATGAGCAGTCATGAATTTACTGAGTAATTGTTAAACTTTTTTTTTTTTTTTTTTAAAAGTCATATTCTTGTAAATAAATTAAGTAAAATATATGCAATATTTTCATAATTAATAATTAAGTAAATATTCTATGTTTAGTATTTTTTAAATAGCGCTTTTCCACCTTCAGAGCTCAAAGTGCTTTACAACAAGAAACCACTCACCCGTATACCAGTGTATACAGACACTGGGGGCGAGGTGGTTTGTGTCTTGCTCAAGGACACAACAACAGCATTCATCTGTGGAAGCTGGAATTACACCGTCAACCTGTGGGTCAGTGAATCTGTGTAGTAGTAGTAGCAGCAGTAGTAGTCGCAGTAGTAGTAGCAGTAGTGGTGTAGCTGTAGCAGTATTTTTATATAGTGCATTTCCACCTTCAAGGCTCAAAGCTTTTTACAACAAGGAACCACTCACCCACACACACCCCAGTGTACACACACACTGGGGGCGAGGTGGGTTAAGTGCCTTGCCCATGGACACAACTACAACATTCATCTGTAAAATGCTGGAATCACACCATCAACCTGTGAGTCAGTGGATTTGACCGTTCAACCAATCCCAACTGCCAACCCTCAGATCAGTGAACAACGCTCTTACCAACTGAGCTACTGCTGCCCCAACCCCGAATACACAGCCACTGAGGGCAGGGACCTATCTAGAAGGACTGTTCCTATATCTAGAAGGACTTTATCTAGAAGTAATATTCCTATATCTAGAAAGACTCTGAAAGATGATGGGTGATTCGATAGTAGAACTTACTCATTAAACACAAAACTTTGACAGCATGAGTAAAAGAAGTTAATTTTGTCCATTGCTGTTAAATAAGTTGTAGTTCTCACAGAATTATCTCACAGTTCTAACAGACCCTTATGTAACAGATAATACTCCCTACAACTGTACAACAACTCACCCTTATGTAACAGATAATACTCCCTACAACTGTACAACGACTTACTCTTATGTAAGAGATAATACTCCCTACAACTGTACAGTGACTAACCCTTATGGAACAGTCACTGTTGCACTGTCTGTGTCTTGAATAAAGCTGAGATTTTTATATTCTATTACTTATTTTTCAATTTTATTTTGACTTGTACATTTATATATATATAATTATGTTTTATTTGACACCTGTCTCTTTTTATCTCTTTTTGCTACTTAGAATTTATTTTACCATTTATATTTTTATTATATTGTGATGTGTGGGCTCCTTTGTTCAAATTATTTCCCTTGTGAATCAATAAAGTTTGTCTAAGTCTAAGTCTAATTATGTTATTTCAGAGTAAAAAATACCACAGTTGATTTAATATATTTTACTTCAGTGTAATAGAAGTAGTAGTAGTGGTGGTGGTAGCAAATGAAGTATTAGTACTACGTAGAATACACTATGTAGAATATTCATACTTTCTGTTGCAGTGAAATCCTACATGTATTTTGCCCAAAGTTCTTGTTCAGTGTTTGCTCTGAAGTGGACCGGGCCATTATGTTCTTACACAACCCACTCTGCTGCTGCTGAGTACACCAGAGTACTGCAGTTCTGTGGGCCCCCGGGTACTTATACTTCAGTCACATACACACACACAGCGACAAAAAGCAGCAATTTACCCACAGAAAAAATACATTCTATATTTTACTGAATAATGCTCAGGGCGTTATATAACAATGGAAGTAAAGTGGTAGTTGTTGTAGTTGTTGTAGTTGTTGTAGTTGAAGTAGTAGAAGTATTAATAGCAGTAAGGAGTACAAACACAGTAGTAGTTATTTGTAAGAGTTGCAGTAAATGTAGTTCCATTTGAGGACCAGGACTAAAACAGGGCTAAACCAGGACTAGAACAGGACTAAACCAGGACTAGAACAGGACTAATCCAGGACTAGATCAGAACTAGAGCAGGACTAAACCAAGTCTACATTTGGACTAAAATGAACTCAATCAGAACCAGGATAAGCAGTAAAAGAAATAGCAGGAAGACTATTTGTCATAGAAGTAGTAGTAGCAGCAGTAGCAGCAGCAGCAGTAGTAGTAGTAGTAGTAGTAGTAGTAGTAAATGCACTGTAGTAGACATGGAGGTAGTAGGAGTAATCCTCGTCAGAGAAGTCCTAGTAGTATTAGTAGTAATCCTAGTAGTATTAGTTTTAGTAGTAGCAGTAGCAGTAGTAGTCCTAGTAGTAGAAGAATTACTCCTAGTAGTAGTCATAGTAGCAGTAAAATTTTCAGCAGTATAGGCCAAAGTTTTCCTAAATCTTAAGTAGTAGTGGTACTATTAACAGCAGTAGCTGTAGTAGTAGTAGTAGTAATAGTAGTTGTAGTAGTAGTTGTAGTAGTAGTAGTTTAGTAGTAGTAGTAGTTGTAGTAGTTGTTGTAGTTGTTGTAGTAGTAGTAGGAGGAGGAGGAGGAGGAGGAGAGGGAGTATTTTCACTAGTAGCAGCAGTAGTAGTTGCAGTCATTGTAGTAGTACTAGTGGTGGTGTTAGCAGTAGGAGTAGTAGTATTTGCAATAATACCAGCAGTCGCAGTAGTTGCAGCAGGGGCAGTAGTAGTAGTAGCAGTTCTAGTAGTGGCTTTAGCAGTAGTAGTAGCAGTAGTAGCAGTGGTGGTAGTAGTAGCAGCAGTAACAATAGTAGTAGTCCTTGCACACTCTGTGCACAGATGTACCTAACAGTGTGTGGGGTGTATTTGCAGTAGTAGTAAGTGCAGTAGTAGTAGTAGCAGTAGTATCAGCAGTAGTAGTTCCTTAAGTCTTTCACTATGACTGCATAATCTCTGGGCAGGTGTACTAACAGTGTGTAGGGTGTATTTGTGTACTAAAAGTGTGCGGGCTGTATTTGTGTACTAACAGTGTGCGTGGTATTTTTGTGTACTATTACTGTGACCAGTATAGAAGCACAGCAGCTGTACTTCATTATAAATGACAAGTGTAACGCTGCATCGTTCACGGTTGGTCATGTGCGCCGCTCTGCTCCGCTCCTCCGGGTACACAGACAGCAGATGGTTCCTGTCTGCTCCTTCCACCCTCATCCGCACGCGGGCACCGGCTGAGACGCTCGCCCAACTTCTACCATGAGAACGCTTCAGCGCCATGAAGGATCTGACCAAACAGTACGACTCAAACACCGGGTTCATGTGCTGTCAACCAGAAGAGAGGAGGAACATACTACTACTACTGCTACTACTGCTACTACTGCTACGATTACTACTAATGCTACTAGGACTACTGACCACTCCAACTCCTAATGAAACCACTACTAATACTCTCAACTTACACTATAACTACTCTCACTCTTATTACTCCTGTTACTTCCTGATACTATTACTGCATTTTAATACAACACCTCTACTGCTCCCTGTCATCACCAACTTCTGTTTCTACTTCAGTTATTATTTTCACTTACTTCTGCTTTTGATAAATACTACTACTACTACTACTACTACTACTACTACTACTTCAAATAGTCTTACTGCTATTTCTTTTACTGCTTCTCTTGGTCCTGATTTTAGCTCATTTTAGTCCAGATGTAGACTTGGTTTAGTCTAGTCTTGCTCTAGTCCTGGTTTAGTCCTGGTTTAGTCCTGGTTTATTCCTGGTTTAGTCCTGGTTTAGCCCTGTTCTATTCCTGAATTAGGTCTGGTTTATTCCTGTTGTAGTCCTAGATTAGTCCTGGTTTAGTCCTGGTTTAGTCGTTGTTTAGTCCTTGTTTAGTCCTGGTTTAATCCTGGTATTGTCCTGGTATAGTCCTGGTATAGTCCTAGTTTTGTTTGGGTTTAGTCCTGAATTAGTCCTTGTTTAGACCTGGTTTAGACCTGGTTTAGTCCTTGTTTAGACCTGGTTTTGTCCTGGTTTTAATGTTTTTCTGATTTTTGATATAGTGTGTGGAAGTGTGAATAGACCCTAAACCATCAGTGATATCGCCACTACTGCAACTACTCCTACTAAATACTTCTTCCAGTACACAACTACTACAATTTTGTTAGTACTGATAGAATTATGAATTGTCTTTTTAGCAATATTATTATAAACCGCATTCTCCTTCTTATCATTGTTACTACTACTACTTTACTACCACTACTACTACTGCTACAAATTGGCTACATCTTGATCTATAACGGTTCCATATTTTTTATTAGTTCTGGGTTGGACTCCTGGGTGTTTCTGTATGGAGTTTGCATGTTCTCCTTGGGTCTCTCTGGTTGAAGTGAAATCTTTCAGCTAAAGTAAACCTGCCCAGGACCAGCCCCAGTGGAACTGAAGATTGGGTCAAATTCAGATGACAAATTTCCTTATGGGGACAATAAAGTGTACCTTAAACCTAATCTGAGGGACTGTTGTTGCATTTTTTTTTTGTTTTTGTCTTATAGTCATGTTCAAGCACACTTTCTTTATTTTAACTAAACAAAAGACAATATATTCTTCTCTTTACTGTTGGCAGGGATCAACTTGGTCAAGGGACACCTGGGACATTTCTTGTATAAACCTGGGACAAATCACTGATGTTGTATAAATCTGCTGGGACAGGGGACACACGGCTCAAAACTGGGACTGTCCCGGGGAAACAGGGATGTCTGGTCACTCTACCTTACAACTAATTCTCCTGTAGTTGGTACTAGTATTATTAGTATACATTAGAAGTACTGTTTTTGCTTTTACACATGGATCATTATGTTATCATTTGGACATTTTAAATTACAATATTGATCTAAAACAACTTCAGATGAGCTGATTTTCCTCACAACATCTTTGCCAGACCATGCGGAGCAACAGAAAACCAAACTGAAGAATGAAGTACAGAGCAGAGGGAGTGAACTGTTTTGTTGAACACAGAGTTAAAGTATGTGACAGACTGGGCTCAGAGTGTTGCCGCGGCCCTTGGCAGAGGAGGGCCGGTCTTTGCTGGGGTACGGCCAGGTGATGTCCCATGCAAATGATCTCCCAGGGGCCTCACGGGGACTGGGCGTGCACTGGTCGCTGGACAACATGCTCTTTAACTGAACTCTCCCAGCATCTGTGAAAAGACAAATTTATCAACATTTAAAATAAAAAAATGATTACTTATTCACAAGTTGTATGTAAAAAAAAAAAAAAAAAAAAGGGGATTAGGTCAGGGTAAAAGTGTATGAATATAACTGCTGCCTTCTTACAATGAATTTAATTGAGTTCACAATTTTTTTCAATAGACTATTCACTTACTACTCTAAAATGAAAGTTATTTTACTAGAACTAAAAGAATGAATGAAGAGGATGAGTAAAGTTCAGATTGTGAACCAGTAAAACATAAAACAGGGTGTCCCAAAAAAAAGTGACATTATTTCGCAGGTCAATAATTTAGTCAATTCTTGTTGAAATAACCTCAAATTTTCACAGAATGTATAGAAACAGATCGATTATATACTGAATGTTTTATTTTTGTTCTGTTTTCAGGTTGAGCCATGCTGTTGACTAGTGTTGTAGTCAAGAGAGCACTAATCGAGACCAAGACCTGTCCGAGACCACAGGGTCCCGAGACCAGGACAAGACCAAGACTTCTGAGGGTTGAGACCAAGACATTTAAAGATTGAGATTGAGACAAAACAGAGACCACGGACCATCGAAACCAGATCAAGACAATCTTTGTAATTTTAGATTTTACACTTATTTTGGCACATATATATCAGTGTTTTTATAAATCTGTTAGACTTCGAGACCGAGACCGAGACCAGACCGAGTCCAAGTGTCTTCAAGACCGAGACAAGACTGAGTCCAAACCAGTCTTGAGTACTATGACACTACCATTCACTCCCAAAGAGAAGTCATTCTGCATCTTGGAATCTGCTGCACACACTCACCTAAGACTGTGCAGCTTCAATGCAACATTTGGAAAAACTTTAACAACTGGCAACACATTTGGACTTGGTACCAAAAATGTAAAGAGGAAGGATCTTCTGCAGGAAAGGATCTGGTACCAACATCAAAGTCATCATTGAGTTACACTTAGTAGTTTTCAAGATAATTGCTTTTAATGTCAAACCTGTATTTAGTTTTTAGTCATTTGGACAAACAAACTAAACTTATCTGCATTCCCTACATTTACAGTTACTATTTAAGTTATTACTTGAGTAGTAGTTTCCCCAAATACGTTTTACAACTCTTTTAATCATTTCTTCGACCACTACTTTATAATTCTACTTGAGTTATACTATTTTGAAGTAATGTTATTCTTATTTTAGTATAATTTCTGTCTACACTTCCCACCTCTGCCTTTCAAAACAGTTACCATTTGAAACACATATTTCCATTAGTAGAAAACATAATAATCCCTGTATCTATCCTTTTTCGTTCTAAAACCACTCACTCGTTCAAATCCCCCTTTGGTTGTGAGCTGCAGTTGTTTTTAATTGCGTTTGTCATCTCTGGCGTTTTTACTCCCAAAGAGGGGGAGGACTGCACCACACTTTTAATGTCGGCCCAATTAGCGCTGCCATTTTGTCTCATTCTGCTAAAACAGTAAAAATGCTTTTCAGAAGGCTACATGAATTAGTCAACCATGCCAGGAATTAGTGTCAAATGAAGAGTACTCTTGTCATATCAGGACTCGTTAAAGTGCATGTGACAAATTAGATCATTTCACTCCAAAACACAGTTACAAGATTTCACTACAAATTTAATCTAGGCTTTTCATTTTTTATTTTGTTGAAGTGTATCATTTACTTCCTGGTTGAACATGAGCAGCACGTATGTAGTGGTAATTCTATAACCGTTACCTAGCAACCGTAATGAAACATTCTCTAAATTGCACAGAGTGGCCTAATGAAAACAAACGACATCTGTATTTTGTTAAACTGTGTAACTTTCTGGTGGAGGGTCTTTCTTGCCTCTATGGCGATGTTATTGCTTTGTCTAGAATGTCTCACAATACGGCATAAAGTGTATCTATTTCCATGGAGACAAGGCTGCAATACCTCAAGGCCAAGTTACAGGTCAGGTCTGTGAAGAGGTGAGCTCACTGTACACAGCAAAAACTGGAGGGTTAAAATTTCAGGGTAAAATATTTCAGAGTTGCTTTTTTTAGCAAGTGTTATTTAACTATTTGAAACTAAAATGGGGGTTCAAGTTGGGGTTATTTGCCAGAGTTTATATGGCTAAAGTTAATTCAACACCCCATAGTGTTAATTCAAGTTCCCTTAGTGTTCATTCAACTTCCTCTAGTGTTGAATTCAACTTCCTCTAGTGTTAATTGCAACTTCCACTAGTGTTAATGCAACTTCCACTAGTGTTAATGCAACTTCCACTAGTGTTCATTCAACTTTTCCTAGTGTTAATTCAGCTTCCCCTAGTGTTCATTCAACTTTTCCTAGTGTTAATTCAACTTCCCTTAGTGTTAATTCAACTTCCCCTAGTGTTAATTCAACTTCCCCTAGTGTTATTTCAACTTCCCTTAGTGTTAATTCAACTTCCACTAATATTCATTCAAGTTCCACTAGTGTTCATTCAACTTCTATTAGTGTTAATTAAACTTCCCTTAGTGTTAATTTGGCTCCTCCACCCACCACTTCAAACAAGACCAGTTTGAACCAATTTTGTTCATAATTTCATCTTAAATAAACTGTAAAAATTACAGTGTAAAAACAAAACACCTCTGTGTTGTTTAGCTAATCAGGATAACCCTACATCTCCGTTTACTCTCAAAACATTAATTTGATTTCAGGCTTAAACAGGAACTTTGGTCCAGTGTTCACTTAATTAACATTTCCAAAAATGTTAAATTAACTCTAGAACAGATTGGACTCATATAAACCCTGAGAAAATGTTCAAATTGATTCTGTGAGAGTCAAATTTAACACTCCACTTTTTGCTGTGTAAAGTGCATGTTTTTCGTCGTATTTTTGAGCAGTAAAACTCCTGTAAATAATGAATGCAACATAGGTGAGTTTAATGCCATACTGTGAGGCAAAGAAAAAAAACCCATAATTCTCCATGGAAACAAGCTCGGGGCGGACCAACTACCAGAAAAGTTACACAGTGAACCTTTAAATGAAGGTTTAAACTGGCAGACAAATATGTTCTTTGCGAGTAAACTCTCTCCTTGGGATTCTCTTTGGATAGAATTTTCCATGTTGATGATGACATAGACAGAGGTTCACACTTTTCTGTTTTTGTACTTTTTTCCACAAACTGACACTTGCCTGATGTAAAGCCTGTCAAATGCACTTCCAGTATTCTTTAGTGTGTTGATAACTTGCCGTGGTCAGTTCGTTGGTCCGAGTTGTCAGGGTGGATTACACACTGTGAGCCCTCTCGACCCATAATGGCGTCTTCAGACAGTCGGAAGTTCTTGAGCAGGAAGTAGGTGTTCATCAGCCCTTTTCCTTTCACCTCAACCTGTCCACGCTCTGTTATGTCAAACTCTGAATCCTTTAACTCACTGAAAAACAGCAAATTAAATTGTAAGATTTGGTTATGAAACATGACACCAGATGCTGTTCAAAATAGTAGCTCAGATTGAAATGAACAAAACAACAGCATTTTATGGAGCTCAACAGTGAAGTTAATTTAACATTCATTGTTTTCAGTGACTTTACAAGAAAAAAAGGAAAATTAAGTTTTAAAACTTGAATAAAATCTGAAGAAGAAAACAACTTTGCTATAAAAAAGTTCAAGATGGATTTCTAGACAGCCTAACTAAAAAAATACAAAAATCATCAACAAGAAATTGGGCCCTGAGGAACTAAGGCTGGTCAAGTGTTCACCCAAAAGTTTGTGGTTAAATTCTGGCTCTGACTATTGCATACTGTTGTTGCATCTTTGGGCAAGACATATCATCCACACTATATATAAATTTTTAAAAAAAATCTAACACTAATGTTCACTCACATTCAGCTCGTTTACTTTACTCACAACTATGAATTAGTGGATCTTAAAGTGGTAAAGTAACAGTTACTTTAGAACAAAAAAAGCACATTACATGTGAATTAGATTTGGGTCAACTTGAATGAGACGAGTAATACAATTCAGTCTTATTAACAACATGTAATATCTGGTTCATAGTATTCAAAAGAAAATAGTAAGAATAAAAAATGTGAAATACAGTGCATGAGCGCCAGTGTCTCCACAGCTCAGAGGTGAATCTGACAGAGCTCCTCACAGACACAATAGATCAGGGGAGCTCACACTTTTTCAGCGTGTGAACTACTTACAAAATGACCAAGTCAAAATGATCGACCTAATACAAAGTCAAACAAACTGCACTGAAACATTCTGTTCCAATTTTTTGACCCTCCCCCACAGTTTGAGAACCTCTTCTTTAAGAGAACTTCCTCTGGCACTTTACACAAAACTGTGAAAAAAGAGAAGGAAGATTTTTAAACCTGTTTTTTAAAGTTCCAAACTGGAGTTTCATTCTTTTCTGGTTTTGCAGTGATATTTACCAGCCTCTGCACGTTTACCAAACCAAACGCACATCGTGACAAACACAGATGCATTTGTCACTTTTGTTAGACAAACTTCAGCCAAATGTGGCAGTAGGTCTGTTCTGTAGATCCGCTCTATGCTGTAGACCTGCTTTGTGCCAACACTGGAACACAAAGTTAGACTGGTTTTTGCTTCACGTTTGGTCTTGCTCTTCTAATCAGCCGCACTGTGGGAGGGGCTTGTGTTCGCTGTACGCAGGAAGGAGCGAGAGCGTGAAAAGGCGAGGGGCGGCGTGCTGACGTGAGGCAGATGGACAGGTAGGATGTTTAGGAAGTTGAACCTGCCCTGTGATGCACGCTGGTACACGAGGCACACGCTGTGTCGCAGACGAGCCGTGCATAGGGAGCGTGTGTGTTTGTGATGCGCCGTAGAGTCTCCGCGGGTTTCAAATGAGCGCACAGGCTGCACTGAGACGCCCCACACGCTCCTGCACCCGCTACAAGTTTATTACCAACAGCAGCGGCCGTAATGAAATATGATCACACTTGTTGAGTGTCAGACCTTGAGTGACAGACAAGACCGAGTCCAAACGCGATCGAGTCCGAGACGAGTACTAAGACACGGCGATCTACCCACACGACCTTGGCGATCGACTGGTAGATCGGGATCGACGTATTGAGCACCCCTGCACTAGAGCTTCAATGATTCAATTGCTCAGATTCACGGCTCTACACATAAATGAATAAATACAACATCTGATCGTGACAACACAGGGTCTCACCACAATTTACAAATATTTCAGTGGCGCTACAGAACCTCGGCACTTTCAGTAATATTCTCAAAGAGTCGTTATAGGAAACTTTCAAACTCTGCAAACTGTTTTTCTTGTAGTTGCGCCAAAGATGTGCAGTGTACAAGGGTGAGCGGAAACATTTAAAAAGTGCAATTTTGACATGACTGGATGGTGACTGGAGTAACTTCAGTTATTGACAACAGTCCAGCTCCATTTCCCAATCTGTTCCGCTCCTCCTTTTGCTTCCTCCCTGTTTTTCCTACAGTCGCCACTCACTCCCTGATCCTCCCAGAGTGTCTCTATACTCTCCCTCTGTTCATTCTGTTTGTGCTTGGTTTCACCTGTTCTTCTGTTTTATTTCTTCAGTATTTTTTGAGCTGGGTCTTGGCTGAGCTGATGTGGAATGAGTGAGTTCTACTGTTTTATTGTTTCACATGTTAGAATGTGTTTGAACTTAAGCTGAACAAAAGTTTTGCTCTGTTTTTTTCAAAGGTTAATAAATATTCAAATCCATGTACCTGATGCAGATCTAAATGACATGATTGTAGAACAGAACCTGTTTTTACTCAAACCTGTGTATAGAAGTAATATTTACTTGCTCAATTCAAGGCAATCAGTTTCCATGGTTTTACCAAGTAAGATGAACTTCCTCTTAAAAGTAAAGGTTACTACAGATTTCAGATTTGAGGAACTGACTGATTCATTCATTCACAACATGAGTCTATGAATGAAAACTAAAGTTCACTTGAAAAGTTTACTTCCCTTACTGTGCCTCGTTAGGTAAAAGAGTTTTTTTTTTTCCATAATTTCACCTTAAATTAACTAAAAATAAAGTGTAACAAAAAACACCTCTGTGTGTTGTTTAGCTAAATCAGGATAAACCTGTTTACTGTCAAAATGTTAAATTAACATTTTGACAGTAAACAGATAACACTTTGTAGGTTTATCCTGAAGTAAACTTTTCAAGTGAACTTTAGTTATATAATATAACTAAAGTTCACTTGAAAAGTTAACTTCACTTGCTGTGCCTCATTAGATTAAAGAGGATTTTACTTACACTACAATAGGGGTGTGCAAAAATATCAATATATCGTATTGTTTAATGTGATGATACAGTATTGATATCGTAGGCTGCTGTATTGATATATATCCAAGAGTATTTTTTGGTATATTTTACAAAATGATTTTGTTACAGCTACAGTATTGTTGCTTGTTCAGAGGAAGGAAACTGGTTTATGTGACACATTTGACATTTTCACTGTTTTGATGATTAAAATGTTTTTTGTGTTTCATACGAATTTTGCACAAGAAGTGATTTAACAAAGACTTTTACTAGCACAGACCTGATTTAGCCTTAAAAAAAAATTAAACCGTAAAAAATCGTTTTGAAATATATTGTATTGAAGTGAAAGTGCACTGTTTTGAGATATGTATCATATCATGGCCTGTGTATCGAGGTATATATCGTATCAGCAACTTCTTAATGATATCATCCCTATACTACACTGAGGAATTACTTGTAAACTCAGCTTTAGGGTCCATTTTAGTTAGATTTTCCAAGGCAATGGGTTTCCAAGATGTTTTTAAGTAAGGTCTACTTATTAGATTTTACAGTGCACCATACCTATTTAATAAGATTTTACTTGGTGGAATCATTATCTGACACTATACTTTTACTCCTACTTGAGTGAATAATTTTATAGTGTAACAGTACTCTTACTGAAGTAAAAGTTTTGGTTACTTTTCCCACTATGAGTAAATAAGTTATCAGTATTGTATGATTTGAACATTAAAATGTACCATGTATTTCGAACTATAAGCCACATTTTTTTTCATGGTTTGTGTGTTTCCTGTGACTTATACTCCAGTGTGATAAATTATAAATTAAAATGTTGACACTGACAGCCACGAGAGGCTCTAGTCTTGTGTGCCAGTATCTAGTACTTCTATTACTCCTGTACTTCTGTCACTTCACTCTACTGCGCATGTCTCCTGTAGAAAAAGCCACTGTTCTGCTGCAAGTAGTGAAATATTCAGTCGAAAAATGGTAATCGAGCAGCAGAAAGAAAGTTTAGAGTGAGAGAGAAACTTGTGAGGGACTGGTGGAAAGCGGGGATGGAGAGAACGCAGCTTCATGAGAACCTAGCGGGTGCACCATGAAATGTTCCTGAAGTCACTGGATGGATGGACAAAGCCTGGACTTCAGTGACACCAAAGCCATCTTGTCGGGAAAGACCCGAATAATTCTAACTGGAACTGATGCTGAGTCTCACGACAGCGACACAGAAGAGGAAGCGTTGCTCTGTTTACATCATGGGTCCATGGTTTATCTCTGGAGGTCACGCAGAAGTGACACAGAGGATGAAGAATTCAGTGGATTTCGTGATTTGGAGTGAGATGGTGAGTTTGGTAAACTTATGTTCTGATGTTTATGTTATAATTATCTGAAGAACTGTTAATATGTTACATTGACATATTAAAGCCTATTCAGTCTGTTGTTCTCTGTTCTGTTGTTATTACTAGAACTTGCCTTTCAAGATAAAATATCAGTTCCTGGTCTCTGATTTTATAAAATACATTTCCCCAAAAAGTGCAACTTATAGTCCGGTGCAATTTATATATTTTCTTTTCTTCTTCATTATGCATTTTTTGGCTGGTGCAACTTATACTCCAGAGCGATTTATAATCCGGAAAATACGCAAATTAAAATTGTGTATATATATTTTTTCTAGAGATATTGCACAAATGTAAAATGAATGAACAAAAATAAGCAGTATTCTCTTTTGGGGGTAATGTTTCTATAAATAGCTCCAGGTTCTTTGGCTCCCACTCGAGGCGTGGACCAAAGACCAGTGTCAGTGGCCTGTGTAAATGGAAGAAAAGTGGGCCAAGCACCGACCCCTGTGGAACTCCTCAGGTCCTGAACTGTGATGGATGTGAATGTGTGTCTCTGATGAATAGATAACCACCGCAGAAGTAGGACAGACGGGCTCGTACGTAAGTTAGTGATCCGATATACAGGACCACACGACACGCGGCACATGGGAAATGGAGAAGATACACGAGTAACAGTATTCGGTTTTGATGTAATGTTAATAAAGACGTCAAGTGAAATGGAGTCTTCAAGATGTACAGTGAAAAAGAAAGTCCCTCTTGGCTGAATCTAAGCTTTCAGGATTTGACAGAGGAATAAATGTAATGTAATGTGGTGTAGAAAAATAAAACCCGGGATGGGATTGATCTTTTTACATCTCCAAAGCTCAAAATGCTCTGTTCCACCTTGTGATGTCATGAAGAGGTAGTTTTCATGTCAACAGCTACTTTTTAGTTTAGTAGAGATCGGCAATTCCAAGTTTCCATGCTTTAGTTTTGTGATTTTATCTGATTGTATTTGTCCCTGTCACATAAATAAAAACATCAATTGCCTATGCACTTTTTTTACTCCAGTGAGTGCACTTACTCAGTCATATTTTTTATTGTTCAACAGCACAATTAAATATATCTTTGATTCATTTTCTGGTCCAAAGTCTTTATTGGACAGAGCAGTTGTAGCGTGAAATGGGGAAGAGAGGGTCGAGACGTTTGGCGTCGAGTCGTGACTGGAAGTGAACAACAATAATACAGATAACCATCACTCACGCATGCAGGACAACTGTCTTGCCCAAGGACACAAACGCGCAATGCTTTAGACCGCTGCACCACCAACAAGAATGGATTTCAAATTTAGGTGAACAAAAATCTACAATAAATTTATTAAAAACTACAATTAATTATGATCAGTGGTGGAATGTAACAAAGTACAAGTAAAGTACTGTATACATTTTAGGTATCTGTACTTTACTTTAAATTAATGAAGTAATAGTAAGTGGATACAGAGCAAAAACTGGAGAGTTAAAATTTCAGGGTAAAATATTTCAGAGTTGTTTTTAACACAAAAAGTGTTATTTTAACTATTTGAAAGTTAAATGGGGGTTGGAGTTGGGGTTATTTGCCAGAGTTGATATGGTTGATGTTAATTCAACTTCCACTTGTGTTAATTTGGCTCCTCCCACCCACCACTTCAAACTCTCATGAGAGAAGACCAGTTTGAACCAGTTTTTTTCATAATTTCATCTTAAATTAACAAAAAAAAAATCAGGATAACCCTACAAAGTGTTATCTGTTCACTCTCAAAACATGAATATAACTCTTGATTTGGGGGTTAAACAGGAACTTTGGTCCAGTGTCACTTAATTAACATTTCCAAAAAAGTTAAATTAACTCTAGAACAGATTGGACTCATATAAACCCTGAGAAAATGTTAAAATTGATTTTGTGAGAGTCAAATTTACCTCTCCACTTTTTTCTGTGTACCTTTTATTGTAACCTCACTACATGAGAGAAAGTATTTGTACTTTCTATTCCACTACATTTTTAACTAGACTGAAAAGTAAAAGTATTTTTTATTACAGTCTGAGACTGTAAAAGGCAGAGGATTTCATTTGAAACAAGTTCATAATTTATGCAAACAAAATTATACAAATAAAAACAGCTCAGAAAAATTATTGATTGTTTCCATTGAACAAACTTCAGCACAAATCTTTATCAAAATCAATACATTGGATTTTTTATTAGATCTCAAAATCTGTGCCAAACACTTGTACTTTTTACTCCTAAAGGACATTTTAAAGTTGGTTCTTTAATACATTTACCTAATAGATTTTTTTTATGTGATATTTTTACTTTTACTTGAATATATTTTTGCTCTTGTAAGTGTACTTTTACTTAAATAATAAAACTGAGTACTTGTTCCACCACAGATGATAGTAATATTATAAAACTACATAGGTAATTATATCATTGCAGTGGAAAAAACATGGTATATGGTCTAAATAACTGTGTCACTATTATTACATTTAATTTCAAATGTTGTTGTTATTGGATTTTTAGCACATGTCAGTGATTCACAATAAAATGTTTTCTTTCTTGCATAAACCTGGCCTGGGTGATAAGGTTGTGAACGAGTATTGTGCATTAGAGGCTTGAAAATAGTCCGTGGAAGTGCCTCCAGTGATAGTTATGATTTATTACTATGTTCACAGCAGAAATATGTGCATTATTTTTAGCCCCCTTCCTCAATAGTTAATTCGCTGTTATATTTGGTGACACTATGGCAGAAATCCTATATATTGTGAATGAAACATTGCATATTTATAAGCACAGTCAGAGACACCAGAACAGAGCAGTCACTTTTTCTCTCAAGTACAAAGAGCAGCAAAGAGCCGCCTGTACTGCGACTCAACGGCACCTCTGTGTGGACTATACAGGTACTGCAGGACAGGTACAAATACACTGTAAAATGGTTACCAGTATGTGTTATTCAATCTAAGACAACTGTATAATCCAGAAAAAAAAATTAAAGAGGACTGTGTCATTGTGTCATTTGGCAAGCCACTTCACCCACAGTGTCCCCTTCAGTTACACTAATGTGGCTGGTCATGGCAGGAATGGCATCTGATGTAAAATCAACTTCTGATAATTAGGGCTGTGTATCATTAAGAAGTTGCTGATGCAATATATACCTCGATACACTGCACTTTTGGTTCAATACGATATATTTTAAAACAATTTGATGCAGTTCAGTTTTTTAAAAAGGCTTAATCATGGCTGTGACACTAAAAGTCTTCTTCATGTGCGAAGTTCATATGAAACACTAACATTTTAATCATTACAACAGTGAAAATGTCAAATGTGTCGCATAAATGAGTTTCCTTCCTCTGAACAAACAACAAAACTGTAGCTGTAACAAAATAATTTATTAAAATATACCAAAAAATACTCTTAGCGATATATCGATACAGCAGCCCACGATATCCAGACTGTATTATCACATTAAACAATACGATATATCATTATTTTGATAATTTTGCACACCTCTACTGATAATACTACAATAATACTAAATATTAAGAAGATTATTTGTCAGTGTCACAGTATAATTGAGATAAAACATTTTAATAATATTTTAATTTTAGTTCCAGTCCTGTTTCAGTGTGTGAGTGTGAGACAGCTGAACGCACTCTGGAGGGCATCTTTGATTCATAGAACCGTAGTTACAGTTGTAACTTTTGTTTTAGTCCCTCTCTGACCTGTAGGTGGAGGCGCTGAGGTGGATGTGGTCGGGTACTCCATGGCTCTCCATCCTGGATGCTGTGTTGACCGTGTCCCCAAACAGACAGTACCGGGGCATCTTCTGTCCCACCACCCCCGCCAGGACCGGCCCTGTGTGCACCCCCACACGGATCTGTGCACGGACATGTGAACAAACACATCAGCATGGAAGTACATCGATTCATGGACTTCCTGTTTTATGCATTTGGAGGTTTTTTCCCCATTCAGAAGATAGAATCATTTGTTGTACATTGTTAATTGTTATGGCAACAGTCGTAATTTCTCATTAATCTGAAACCCATGGATATGACTCAGTGAGCGGAGGTGCGCTGACAGTTGTAATCAGGAAACAGTTTATTACTTAAAGGTGCACAATGTAACTTTTCTGATGGGTCAGCCACCTGCTTGACTCCAGGGAGAGAGTATGACATCACACGTATCCTCCTAGAACCTGGCGGTTGTTCACTTAATACACTTAATAAATAGTTTTTACAAATTATTATTCAACTGTGACTTTATTGTGTTCCATCAAAATGATTAAAACATAAAATGAATGTTTTATAAATCATATGTGGACGTAATTTTTTCTCAGAAACTACATCATGTAAAAATAGAATTCTTGTTTTTGCCTCATCAGGTCCCAGTCAGACCAAATCAGATCAATAAAGCCAGGCAAGAGGTCAGGTCCTAGGAGGTTTTAAGACTAAGCATGAATCACATTTAGATCATTTAAAGGTTCTCTAAATGTTCCACAGTACAGCATTAGTAGAATTACAAACAATCAGGTTCAACCTATAATGTTCCACACTGTACGTTTCATGTCGTGTATCCACTGGTCACTCTCTGACGTGTTCTGGTGCTATTTTAAAGCCTGTACCTGGATGGGCGTCCCGGTGACAGGGTTGGTGACATCTCTGGCAGCGATCCTCATTCCCAGGGCAAAATTGGCCACATTATGGGCATGTGTCGCCGTGGGA